ACCGCTGGGTGCGTGTTTGCTGCAAAATTTTGGTGTTTGACGTAAGTATGTTTACCGCTGGGTGCGTGTTTGCTGCAAAATTTTGGTGTTGACGTAAGTACATCACCTTGAGGATAGCTTCAGGGCAGAGTCCTGAAGCAGCACCCTGCTTATACTACCTTCCAGCAAGGCACGCCATTGTGTTGTCCAAAATTGCCGCTGAATATGACTCCCACTCCTACCCCTCCAGAAAAAAAAATGTGAAGATCTTGACTCGGATACGTAGATTTTGAACGTTCGCGCGCGTTCAATATTGCACTGGAGCGCGCTTTCTCCTGCTAGAGCACGCTATTTCAAGCTGTATTTCCTCGTCTTGAGTGTGGCGAATCCTGTAGCACGTTAACTCCTTTTCCGTCCAACCTTGATTCCATTCTCTGTCTTTATTCGATGCTAGGAAGTGGGAATTGTACCCTTGTCAGAACAAGATCTATGAAAAGTAAGAATTGTCTAGTAAGTGGAGAACGATTTCAGGATAATAATGAAAGGTTCCATCGAAGAGCGAGTGTTGGAATTGCAGATGAAGAAAATGGAGCTGGCAAACAATGTGCTGAAGGGGTTTGTGAAGCTTCCTACATTAGTTCCACTATCTTTACGCTACTCCTATGGAAGCCAACTATTTCTGTTTCGTGAGAGTCACTTGTTTTCAGAGCTGTTTCGAAAAAGAATATGAACCTCACCATGGCGGACCTCAAATTTTTATTCGATTTGGATGGAAAGAAATAACATGCAGGCATTGAGAATGGGTACTTGTATTACATGGTTGCACTGAATTGGAGCCACTTTTTTGTGGCTTCTTTAGACAAATCGATTCAACAAGAACAATAATAGTATCTAACAGAATACATCTTTAATTTATCGTAGTCAAGATGTTTACCAACCACTCGCTATCAACGTTTGTGGGAGCATTTGAGAACACCTCGTGGAGAACTAAAAATCACCGTTATGAGGATAAGGACTCGTACGAAAGTCCGAAAGGGGTGGGGAAGGAGCTTATAACAAGGGATAGTGAATGGTTTCAACTTCGCTTGGAACTTTGAATGGAGACCTAGGTACATCGATAGAGTCTCGAATGCTGATTACGAATATGCAGATTAAAAGTGCTACGGGGACCTCCCAGACGAGTTCTGGGTGGTCAAAGTTTGCGAAAACTCAGTTTTGGCTCGTAAGCGCTGCTGATCGGTCGTGCAGTGCCACCGTGGCCTAGTGGTAACGGTCTCGCTTCAGAGTCGAATGCTTGTGGGTTTACATCCCGTTGGCGCGAAAATTTTTGCTTCGCCCCCTATAAGAGCTTTCACTCTAGTTTTTGAAATACTTCCGAGTATACGGCCCAGCAGATCAAGTGTGTGACGTGGTCCATTGAGTATGGATTCGGTCACTATCTGCCCTCTCTGAATACATTATCCATCCGACCGATTCAAAGTTTTGGCCAGAAACGCGTTCCTGAGAGTATTTTGACCCCTCAAGAACGAATATCACATCCAGTTGTTGAGAAAACGCCTGTGGCCTTTCACTTTGCTGTGGTCATCAACTGAACGAGGGAACCGATCGTTTTCGAGTCAAACGGATGTGATATTCGTGCTCAGGGGGTCAAAATACCCCCAGAAACGAGTTTCTGGCCAAAACTTCGAATTGTCGGATGGGTAATGTGTTCAGAGAGGGCAGATAGTGATCAAATCCATACTCGATCGACTACGTCATATACTTGATCTACTTGATCTACTTGCTCTGCTGGACCTAAACTCGGAAGATTCAAAAATTAGAGTAAAAGCTCTTATGGGAGACGAAGCAAAAATTTTCGCGCCAACGGGGAGCAAACCCACGAGCATTTGGTTCTGAAGCGAGACCGTTACCACTGGACCGCGGTGGCTGATCAGACTGATAACGACCAATCAGCAGCGCTCACGAGCCAAAACGTTTTCGCAAACTTTGACCACCCAGATCTCGTCTGGGAGGTCCCCGTAGCACTTTTAATCTGCATATTCGTAATCAGCATTCGAGGCTCTATCGATGTACCTAGGTCTCCATTCAAAGTTCCATGGGAAGTTCAAACCATTCCCTTGTAAGCGGATGAACCACTTTCAAGTGCCACAACGCAGGCTTACTTTTGCACGACGAGTTCTTTGAATGCTCCTGTATGCACCAAAATCATCTTAAAAAGAACACACAATTCAGCTCGTACTTTTGATTTCCGCATTCAATTCATATGTTTGTCTTTTCCAGACTACATTTCTAATGCTTTGTGTATAGCTACACTAGGATGCATCATTTGTTTCAGAATTTCATCCCTTCTTCTGCCTCGCAACTAAATGATCACTGGGTAATCATCTCCTTTTCTAGCTGTTAAGTAGTTTCTTTTTATTCATGCACTATTGCTGCTCTTAGTTTTGTCAATAGTGATTATTTAACCGTTGTCCTTGTCTTTCATGAAAGTTTGATAAACCGCACGTGCAGCCATTATACAATTCTCTACTACCAGCTGACTCCGGCGCGCCTCCTAGGATACTGCGCGGCTCCGCCGCGCTTACCTTCTTCCACACATTTCATTAGCCGCCTAGTATCAGGCTCTTCTTTACCCGAACAGGTGGTCAACATTCTTTGACCAATAGCATCATACCTGCTCCTTTCAACACTATTACGGTGTATGGAGTGGTGGTAAGGAGCGTTGATCAAGTGGACAGATGAGAGAAAAGCCGGGTATTAGTCGAGCATTTGATCATACGAATGCAGGTAGGCGCGATGGAGACGCCCCGCAAAGCCGGGCCGTATCACATAGAGGTCTGGAGTGCCTGGAGTGCTCTGGAACCGCTTGAAGAATTTTTGAGGCTGGCCCCGCTCACCTTGACGCACGCTCCACACAACAGGTATGCTTACACTTGTGAACCGGTGACCCCTCGATGACCTTAAACCACTTTCCCGGTGTCTGGAGTGCTCTGGAACCGTGTTGTGAATTTTTAAAATTTCTCCACCCACTTCAGGGTACGCCCCACCTACAACGTATGCCTCGCGCTTCTCAACAAATAACTCCTCGCTGATCTCAAACTACTCTTTCCCGGTGTCTGGAGTGCTCTGGAACCGTTTTGCGAATTCTTCCGAATTTGGCTCCACCCACCTCGGTGCAGGCTCCGCCCACAACGGGAGTGCCTCGCACATCCTTACATTTGATCACTTGGGGACCATAATCCACATTTTGGCACCTTCTGCAGTGCTTTAGGACCAAACTACGACTTTTTATACTGTTCCTCGTGCTCAAATGCACGCCCCGCCCACTGTAGGCGGGCCTCAGCACGCCGTAAACATGGTGGACTCTTGCCAGACGTTAATCTTCGTCATGGACTTTTCTGCGATCCCTAAACATTTTCGGGGACCGAGTTACCGACCTTTGTGGGAAGCGCCGCCCATCTCAAGTACGCCCCGCCCATTTCGGGTGTCTCTCCTCCATTTGGTGTGCCAACCCAGTGCTAACCTAATTCCACTTTTTCCAGTCTCCGAGCTGCTTTGTAGCCAAGTTATGGTGATTTTTCAGTGACACGGGAAGCGCCGCCCATCTCAAGTACGCCCCGCCCATTTCGGGTGTGTCTCCTCTGTTTGGTCGGTCAGGCCTTTGTTAACTTACTGCACTGTTTCCTCATCTCGGGACTGCTCTGGACCGAGTTATGACTTTTTCAACGAAATCGCAAACTTTTGACGCACGCCCCGCCCACTGTGGGCAGGACTTACCATGGGTCATGAGTGCTAATATTTAGGTTTTGTCCCATGCTCTATCCATCCCCACCCTGACCCGACCCCGCCAAGCTCTTCTTCAGGTGCTATGAATTTCGTGACAGACAGACAGACGCACACACACACACACACACGGACATAGTCGATTATATTAGCAGGACTAGAAGATTGTTTGTTGCGGATGGGCGTGTCAAATGAGGATGTTTGACGCGGTGGACTATCATCCTATCCTACTATTATACTACAAACGGCTATGTCCATGTGTGTGGGTGTGTCTGACTGTCTGTCTGTCTGGTCTGTCTCTCACGAAATTCATAGCACCTGAAGAACTTGGAGAGGTCGGGTCATGGTGGGGATGGGTAGAGCATGGGACAAAACTAAATAGCGCCCATGACCCATGGTAAGCCCCGCCCACAGTGGGTGAGACATGCGTCAGAAGTTAGCGATGTCACTGAAAAAAAGTCACAACTCGGTTCCAGAGCAGTTCCGACGGACCAAACAGAGGAGACGCGCTCGAAATGGGCGGGGCGTACTTGGGTGGGCGGCGCTTCCCGTGTCACTGAAAAATCACCATAACTTGGCTACAAAGCAGCTCGGAGACTGGAAAAAGTGGAATTAGGTTAGCACTGGGTTGGCACACCAAATGGAGGAGAGACACCCGAAATGGGCGGGGCGTACTTGAGATGGTTTCCCCGGCTTCCACACAAATCGTTAACTCGAAGGTCCCTGAAAATGTTTTAGGAGCAGAAAGCCATGCAGGAGAAAGTCCATAGAACGGTACGAAGAGTCCACCCAATGTTTTGCGGCCGTTTGCAGTGGGCGGGGCGTTGCATTGTACCTTCGCACATGGAACGGTATAAAAAGTTGTAGCTTGTCCTAAATCACTGCAGATGGTGCCAAAAATTGGATTATGGTCCCCAAATACCATAATCCACTTTATGGTCAAATGTAAGGCATACGTTGCGGGCGGAGCGTGCCACCAGGAGGGGAGGGGGGTGGAGCCAGTTTTTTAAAATCGCAAAACGCTTCTAGAGCACTCCAGACACCGGGAAAAAGTAGTTTGAAGTCAGCGAGGGGTTATCAGTTGAGAAGCGCGAGGCATACGTTGTGGGCGGGGCGTGCGTCAAAGTGAGCGGCGCCAGCCTTGAAAGTCACATTTCCCAGAGTACTCCAGAAACCCTACTGTGATTAGCGACCCGGCTTGTGCGTTGGCCGGAGCTGCCATCGCGCCTACCTGCATTCGCTATGATGATAATAACTCGACTATTATACCGCTTTTCTCTCATCTGAATTCCACTTGATCAAAACGATCTCCTTACCACCACATCCAACACAGTAAAGTGTGACAAGGTACGCAGGCTATTGCATGGCTATTGGTCAAAGAATGTTTACCACTTGTTCAGGTTAAAGAAAAGCCTGATACTAGACGGCTAATGAAATGTGTAGAAGAAGGTAAGCGCGGCGGAGCCGCGCCCGCTCGACGAAGCCGTGCTGTATTTCACGAGGAGGCGCGCCGGTGTCAGCCAAAGAAAGCCGCTGTAATTTCATATCATTGTTTTTCGTACGCATTTATCACTGGGATGACATACAGTTTGGTGCACTAGCCACGAAACGAAGTGCATACGAACTTATTGCAGAGCCACCCGTTTGTGTTCCATGATCCGAGAATGAGCAAGGTCCCTAGCTATAGAAGGGTGTCGCGAACCTGGGCGGCCAAGATTCTACAGCGAACATGTTGGCATACTAAGGAAGACACAGCTGTGGAGGATAAAGGCGTCCATGCCAAACGTGAAACGGTACAGACAAGTAAAGCCCTGGCCTATGCGTAGGACACAACTTGTGACTGATGCGTGTAGCGTCTTTAAGTGCCTAGAGAGCTCACGTACACCAGCGAAGCATACATGATAGTTCACCCCATTATGAATGTCGTCTATAGGACCCAGCAAATAGTGTCTCTATTAGATACAGGGACGATGCGTACAACCTGTCCGCACGTATGTTTA